CAAAAGTGTGTACAAACTGAGTAAAAAAAAAAGCAATGGAAAAGAACTCCAATATATCCCAGAGGTGTCCTGGGGCCATGAGAGATACATAGCCCTGTGAGAGGCTATGTGAGATTCTGTTGAGAACTGAGCCCCTATGTAACAATGAGGAACACCAGGTAAAGAAACATAGTAGGTCTGGGTTTCCAAATACCTCGCCCTGCTTTAGCTTCCATTTTCCCATAGGTAAAATTTATATGGTTATCCTCTTTAACTGCCCAGGTAGGGGGAACTTTGGAAGCTCCTGCCACCCATCGTCTTACAGAGAATGAGAGACATAGAAGGTACTTCTTGGAGAGAGAAAGACAGGAGTCCACCTCCACCTCACCCTTCACAATTCAGAGAATTGTGACTCACTGAGAATCACTGGCTCTCATACTTTATTGAATTAGGAAAGAGAGACCCTGATGATCACTCTACTGGGAAAGTCTTACCTAGGATCTCAGAAGTAGTACATACATCTGAAAGAGTCCCAGAGGCCCCTTGAGACTTTATTCCTTGCAGCCAGGAACATAAAAGCCTGATGCTTCTGAGGCCCTCAGCCTTTGCATTTTTTTTCCTTAAAAACAAAACAAAACCCCAAACTGTTTCCAAGGATGCCATCATCTCCAAGCTGACATTTATCTTTAATTTTCCATGTGCCAGATACAATGGTAAAAAAAAAAATTGATGTAATTTAATCATTTCCCAGTGAAGTCCATTTCATTATCACTGTCATTATTCATAGGGGGAAAAAATGCAGTTGCAGAATAACCAAACAACTTTTCCAAGATCATAGCGCTGGTGGGTAGGGAACTTGCCTTTCTTGGTACCAGACTTTTAGAGCCCCTAACTTTCTTGAGCTAAATGGTTTCAGGTCTTAAATTTTATGACTAGGAAATTTTTGGAGTCCTCTAGGGCTTGACATTTTTAAAACCTTTTATTTGCAGATTAAAAACTGCATTCCAATGATTAAAATAATTTAAAAAAAAGGGCATTCTGATTAAATGGCATTTTATGCCCACAGGACACCCTGAACAACCTTTGCCTTCTACCCTATATTTATTCATTGTTGTCCCACCCAGCTTCCTTCCTTCATGAAGGAAGGACCTTTCCTGGCAGTCATATAGGCTGATGGGTGTGGCAGGCGCCTTCATTTGTCAGTACTTCTAGATTCTTGGATGTGAAAAGGGACAGCATAGTAATTTAAACTTGATTCGACCTCTTTGCATCTTAAAAAGTTAAACAGCTAAAAGAAGGAAAATAAGGCAGTGCTTGTTGAATGCTTGTACAGTGCATATTGGGGGTGCTGCTTCATTACAGTTCACCCCCTTGCATCTCCTGTTCTATTGTTTCTTTTGAAGGCAATAGATTTTTCTCTTGCATTTCTGTCTTCTTCAGTTTCAACTTAGTGCATTTCAGATTGAAGCAAAGAGAGGCATGAGAGATCAAGGAGTTTCTGTGTGTGGCCATTGATAAATTGCATGTAAAATTTTAAAAATTGCCTAAGAATTAGCAATTATGTTTCCTCACCTCTGCAGGTACTCCCTCCAAACAAGAGTCAATAAGGGAGACTTTTCCCTACAACCCATAGATGAGATTCGCAACCTTTGGTTCCTTAACACCCTATGTGGCTCAAGGTTCTAGTCTTCCAGTCCTTTGGAGAGAGGCTAGCTTTAGGCCTGTGGAAGAGAAATAAAAAACAGCTTTTTATTCCCATAATACACACAAAGTCCACCCCTTCAATTGTATGCCTGTCCTCTTCTTCTCACCTCTCAAACCTTGGTGGGAGGGCAGAGGGAGGACAGTATCTTTCCTAAAGTCAGATGTACTCTTCTGGAAAAGCCCAGAATAGGCTTTTTGAAAACAAGGGAGGGGCAGGTAGTTTTTTTAAAAAAAAAAAGGCCCCCTAAAAAGTATCAGTCATCAACTACTAAAAAAAACAAATTCAACTTCCATACCATTAGTTAAAAATAAAACATTCACTTGTGGAAACTTCGGAGTTGATGGGACACTTCTGAGACAAAGATGATCTGTGTGTGGCAGTCAGCCAGAAGGGACATCAAGAGTCAGTTCAGATCCCATCTTGGGCACCTGATAGGAACTGTGTACAGTAAGTACGTAATAGATGTTGTGACATGTGGAATGGTGTGTTTATCAGGAAGGAGCTCTGGTGAGCCAGCTGTAAGCATGCCCCCAAGGTTAATGAGCCCCCCCCCACCCCACCCCCGCGCTCCTCAGGGACTCGTGTTTGAACATTCCTTACACTTCCTGTATGACCAGGCCAGCTCCACAAGATAAAACAGGTTTTATTTCTTGTCCTAGGCTCTGTTTCCTGGACAAGAGAGCATATTTTCTCTTTCAGGGTCAAAGGTGTGGGCTTCATCCTCTTAATGTTTTCTCCATACTTTCTCTCCCTTACTAGCACTTCTTCCTTGAGAAGGAATAGCCAGAAAGGTAGGAGACAAAACCAAGTCCAACCCAAACTTCCCTACCATTAGTACAAAATAAAACTTTCACTAGTGGAAGCTTCTGAGTGAGGGTGGTAATTCAAAGAATCCAAATAGGCTACTTAAGCTGGGCCAAGGTGTAGGAAAGTCAGTGGTGACATTGTGAACCAAGAGCCTTGCAGAATGAGGGTTGGAGACCTAAGGGGGCAAAAAAGGGTAGAGATTCCTCTCTATAATGTCCTGTATTCTCTCTTGTGGATGGCTCTAGGGAAGGAGATTGAGAGGGCTAGGAGTGGGGAGAGAGTGGGCAGGTGTAAACAGGCTAGGGAAAGCTTCCCAGAGAAAGGAGCCTTTAACAAAGACTTGAAGGAGGTAAAGAACGGTGTCATGTCAATATCTGGGTAACTGTAGAAGACCTAGTCAATGAAAAGGTCTTAAGGTAAAAGTTTACCTCATGTGCTCTAGACCTACTTAGGAGTCTGATTGGGTTAGAGTGGAATGAGAAAAGGGAAAGAGCAGTCAGAGGTGAAGTTAGAGAGGAGATAAGGGGGGTAGGCCATGCAAGACCCAATAAACTGTGGTAAGAATTTAGCTTTTATTTTGAGGCAGAAGCTAATAGAAGATTCTGGACAGAGGAGGATCGGACTTAAAATTTAACAGGATCTTCCTGGCTGTTAAGTGTAGAATGAAATATCTAGAGGGCAAGGGTAGAAAAAGGGAGACCAGTGTAGAGGCCATTGTGTAGTCTAGGTGAATGGCTATGGTGCTAGCGGTGGGGAATTCTGGAAATATTTTCAAAGAGAAGCCAACAGAATTTGCAGATTGATGTCTTCGCGGTAAACCAATATACACTGATAATGTAAAAAAAAAAAAAAAAGGTGAGCAGGACTGCCTAAGTTCTATCTAAAATGGAAAAAACACCCCAACCCCCCCCCCAAAATCCTCAAATTCATCATAGTCAAATAGGAAGTGACTCATAGCTGACCCTCTAGCTGGTTTCTGAGGCTATAAATCACACGGGAAGAGACTGCCCTTCTTTTTTCAGGTGGAACAGCTGGTGGGTTCAAACCACCTGACTTTGTTGGCAGCAAAACTACTTACCCACTAAGCCACCAGAACTCTCTCCTATAAGGATTAGATGAGGCAATTAGTATGCTCAGAATCTGGCATACAGCAAGTATTTAATAAATCCTCAAAGAAGGTAAGAAAAAGTATAAATAGGTTAAGTTTTAACTAACAGTGGACAAAAGCAACTCAGTTGCCACAGGAGAGACCTTAAAGGGGGAGTAGGAATTCACAAGTAGGAATTATCTCTAGAGGAAATGATAAGAGTAAGATGGGATATAGAGGTTGAGGCAGGTAGGCTAGGGTTTGACTTGTGATTTAATCAGTGACTACTACATGCACAATTAACTGCTGGAAGTGTACACTCAGGATCACTGTTTGATTAGCTTCCGAAAGCTCAATTAAACCATTCAACAATGATGCCAAATCCTGAAGGATGCTGGCACTATTTACACAAAAGTGGAGACGGAAGGGGCAACCCAATTATAATAGGAAGGCCCTGCCCATATTGCTAGAGTACAGGCCCTCAGGGGCTCTGAGTATTCGTGGCCCAGGGGTAATGAGAGTTGAGAGAATAAGGCATTCTAGGTTCTGTTGCCCAGACCACCCTACAGTACCATCCCTCTGCCCCTCTCACTGGTCATTCATTCCTTACTTAAATACCAACTGCACTCTCCACCCCTTCCATTGTCTGTTTCCCACCCACCTCCTTCACTACACTTTCTGGCCTCGCATTGCTTCACCTTGTCTTAGCATCGCTCTTTTGAGTTCACAGACCTTCATTAGCTCGCCTGCTGGCTCTCTACATTCTGCCTCCTTTACCCGCTATCTATATTGGCTCTGCTTCCTTTGGCCCTGCCTCTGTGGCCATGCTTGTGTTCTTTCTGGCATCTATTCTGTCACCGCCTCTTGGAAGTCATAAGAAATGTTTACAACACTGTACTGGCCCCTCAGCAACCATAATCACCACGCACCTCCGTAACAACCGTGCGCGGCTCTCCACTAGCTGTTTACAGTCTTTCATCTTACCACCTACGCAACCCATGAATCATTCACTTTTTGAGCCCCTTCTTCGCTACCTGCTAGCCGCATCACCTGTCAAGGTCCACAGTGCGGCTAACATTCCCTACTGCTCACATACCGTTCTTTCTCAGCCTCTTCACTGGCTCTCTTTATTCCCTTTCCCTACCACGCCCATCACAGACTGACTCTCCATTGATTCTCCAACGCCGCCTCCTACACGTCTCGTTTCAAGCATTCCCATTGGCCTGTCCTACTCTCGTCTTCCTTTTGCCACCTGCGTCAACTGTGCGCGGCTCCCCATTGGCTACCTGCTACTTGTCTCCATCTAGCCGCCTACGCCCCCTGTGTGCGGTACCCCTCTTGTGTTGGCCTTCTAATTGGCTGACCACCACTTCAGGCCCTGCCCCTGCCGGTCCTCTTACCGGTGTCTGCGTTGCCGCCGCTATGGCGCGCTCAGCCCCTGTGGAGACCCCGCTGCGGTATCTCGGGCCCCCTTTGCCGGCCACGAGCGCGTCCCGCGCCTCGGCCGAGACCGCGGTGGCCCCACGGAGGGTGCTGTTTGCCGACGAGGCACTGGGGCTGCCGCTGGCGCAACTGCGACGCTACCGGCCATGGGGTGGGCCCGGGGCGGGCAAGATGGCGGGCACCGGGCAAGATGGTGGCGGTGCTGAGGACGACGATGGCGAGGATGGGGATGAAGGGGTGGAGGAGGAAGAGGCTTTCCTCGAGCCCTCGCCGTCGTGCCCTGTCCACGCTGGCAGGGGGTTTTACCTGGTGCCCACATTTTCGTTGCCCCCCGCACCTGGCCGTCTAGAGCGCTTGGGGCGCGTCATGGTGGAGCTGGAGGCTCTGTTGCCGCCTCCCGGAGCAGTTCCTGGGGGTTCTGGGGTATGGGTGCCTGGGGGGCGCCCACCTGTGCTACGCGGGTTGGTACGTGTGCTGAATCGCTCCTTTGAGAAGGCAGTGCACGTGCGGGCCTCACACGACGGCTGGGCTTCATTTTGCGACCATCCAGCACACTATGTACCGTGTAGCCCACCGGGGGCAGGAGCGGGAGGTACTGGAGCAGGAGATGCCGTCCTGGATCCTTTCCTCAGTCTGGGCCCCAGCCAAGTGTCAGCCTTCTCGCCTGATGATGGCAGCCGCACTGACCGCTTTGCCTTCCAGCTGCCCTTTGCTGAGGGCGCGGGCGATGGGGCGCGCCTGGACTTCGTGGTGCGCTATGAGACCCCAGAGGGCACTTTCTGGGCCAACAACCAAGGCCGCAACTACACAGTTCTGCTCCGGATTGCACCCGCTCCCATACCCACTGATGCTGAAAGGCTGCAGCAGCTGGAGCAGCAGCAGCTGGAGCAGCAGCAGCTGGAGCCACAACCCAAGTGCCAGGGTCCGGTGGAGGCTGAGGCCAGGCAGCTGAAGAGCTGCATGAAGCCAGTGAGGCGCAGGTAATGTCTGCCAGCGCCACCTCCACCAATGCAGGCTTATGCCTAGGGTGGAGGATAAGCATCATGAACCTCCTTAGGTCTGCTTTTCTCAAGTGGGAGGAGGACACATTCAGGTAGAGAGTAATAGAGGCCAGACATGTACCAGGCACTGTTTAAATTTTTAATTTCCGTATTTGTTGAGTTCCATTATAAAACCCTTAACAAGACATCTTTCAGGCCCTCAAGAATTACCAAGCTCCTATAGGAGACTTTTAAAAAAAAAAACCAGCTAACAGAAGATCAATAGGGATAAGGCTACCTGCAGAGAGGAAAGAATGATAGAATTGATTGGGGGGTTAAAGCTTTAGCCCAGTTGTTCTGGAAGGGTTTTTGAATCCTGGATGATAAAGGTACAGAGGGAAGAGCTTTCTGAGGAGATAACGTTTAAACTGGGTCCTGAATAATAAAGAATAACACATGGAGCCAGAGGTATTCTAGGCAGAGGGAAGAATAAATGCAAGGTCCTGAGGTGGGTCCTGAGTGAACTTGACATGACTAATGGACTAGAATAGAGTTTTTCAGTGATGTGAAAGTGTGAACCAAGGGCTAATCTAGTGGTGGGGTAGAAACTGATTGACAGAAACCAAGGTTCTAGAGGTGGAAATTTAAGTGACGGTGTTTGACCTTGAAACCTGTGCACATAACTGTTATACTCTAGTATAAGGCCACCTCTGGCAGTAAAGGCCTAAGCCCTTGCTGTCACAGGGAAGTAGTTATTGATGAGTCAGAACCAGATGGGGCCTGGACTTGAAGCTTATGACCTTTGTTTGTATTTTGCCATACTAAGGGACTGGTCCTTGGAGAAGGATGTCATGCTTGGGAGGGTGGAGGGACAGTGGAGGAGGGGAAGACCCTCTATGAGGTAGATTGATTCAGTCACTGGGGTAATCGGGGTGGGTGTGTCAGAGACCGTGAGATTGGCACAGGACAGCAGGGTTTAGGGCTATTGTACATAGGGTCGCTATAAGTTGCAAGTGACTTGACACATAACAACAACAACATTCTGATCATTCAGGGGCAGGGAGGAGGAACCAGTTATACCTGTAGGAGGCCCTGTCCTTCTGTATTTGCTTCCACATATGAATTCCTCTTGTATAATAGCTAATCTGATTCTTTTTAGGACTATCCAAATCTAACTTGTTTCCTGGAATAAATAGATTTTCCCTGCAAAGTGGAAAATGCATACCTTCTTGAGAGGAGTGAAAATGAGAAGATGGTGTTCAGATCTTTTTATGCTTGATCAGGAGCCTCTGGCTACTTTAAGATGTGTCTGAATAGGCAAGTGAACTGGTAAAAACCCATTTATTGACTTGTGAGCCCCCACCTTAATCTGAGACTAAGTGTCAAGGGTGTAGACAGTATCATTTTCCTTGTGGTAAGGGTATGGATATCAGATTACCTAGTTTCAAATACCAGCCCAGTCACTTACTGGCTTTGTGACCTTGGCCGAGTCATTAATTGCATTGTGCTTCAATGCCCTCATCTGTAAAATAGTACTTGCCTCATAGTGCCATACAGGTGTTAGCTAGTAGAGTAAAACCTGTGAAAGTCAGAACCTCTACCTGTCAGAGAAGGAAAACTCAAATATTTTCCACTAATAGAAAGTTAAGACTGCACCATGTCGAAGGCAGAAAATTTGTGAGACATGGCAAAACAAGTCCTTTTGAGGTTTGACTTTAACAGGTTTCACTGTAGGGAGTTACACATAAACTCTGCTTATGGCCAGCGGTGTGGCCTAGCCTCAGTTTCGTCTATTTTAAGGAGAAGGATAGTAATTTTGAGTAGTCTTGTGACAGGCTAGCTGAAGTATGGCAGTGGTTGCAAAAGATAACAGTACTCAGCATTTACTATCTCTGTGCTAAGAGCTACAAGTCTATTCCAGTTGAGTCCTGCTATGCAGCAATAATATGCATGCATGCTATGTTCAGGTCTGTTGTTTATAGAGTCATATGATTATAGTTGACTTGATGGCACCTAACAACAACATGCTTGCTATGTGGTGCAGGGCCCATGATTACTTAATAGATGGGCAAACTTATGCTCAGGAAGGTGAACCAGATTACTCGAGTTACAGGACCAAGTTTTAAAAGATACCAGGGAAATTTTTCTACTAATTATTTTTACCTTGCAAGATTGAGGGCCAATTTTGAATTTCATTCCTGGTGTTCCATATCTTGTTTTCCATTTACTTCCATCTCTGCACACACTCCCCTCCTTGTTTTATTAAGGTGGTGTGTACTAAACTTAGGGAGCTCTTATGGCCTAATGCTAAGAAGCTGGACTGCAGTTCCAAAGGCACTGGTTTGAATCCACCAGTTGCAAATCATGCAATTTATAGCCTCTGTAAACCATCTGGAGGATCAGCTATAGGTCAGTTTCAACTCAATGGCACACAACAAGTGTATGTATTGGTAGATATTTTTAATATGTATGCACTTATGTAACTACTCATATTAAGGTTCAGAGCATTTCTAGCACCCCGTGGTTGTCTTCATCTCTATACATGCCTCCCGCAACCCCCCCCCACCCCCGTGTTTCATCCCAACCCTGTCTGTAAGACATGATAGTTTGAGTTTAGTCATTTTAAAGAGTGTTGAAGACAATAGAGAAATCAAAACCTTGCAGGGGCATTGTTAGTGGATAGGGTGTTTTTCTTTTAAAATACATCAGTGGTTTTAAGGAGAAGTTCAAGCAACCTGTTCAGACAAATGTTTTGGTAGCTGGCCCCAGGTCTGTGGTTTCTAACATGACTTGTGATATTATTTTAAGTGGGCAGATGGTTTTTTTGATAGCTTTTTAATCTTTTGATCTTAACTTTTGCAAAAAGGATATTGGTGATCTTTGCAAGATCAGTGATAAGGTTTTCTTTGTAGGTTGGTGGCTTTCTTGGTGAGTACACTTACTGTTGTTTTAAAACCTGTGTGTTGTTATCAACTTAGAACACTGTTGAAGAACAGCTGCCCCCTGTAATCTAAAGAGGTATCTTTTACCTTGGGAGCCCCCCTATAGAGGGCTTCCCATTCAGGAAATATTGACTACAGGCCTACTGTGTGCTAGGCACAGTTATGGCAGGTTATGGCACAGGAGTAACTCTGTGGGAACATCCCCAAAACTCATATGTCTGCATTCCATGTGTTTCTGAAGCAGGATTTTTTTAATCGTTTAAGCTTAGAGATAACCTATTAACAAGCTTTTCTTGGCCTACTATGTTCTGGAACAGTGCAAAGTTTAAGCAGGTAAAAAGAGATGCAAACTGATTCTATGATGTAAAAGGGTTGTTTGTTAGGGCTAGTGGGAGGAGGAGGTATACAGATTATGATTATGAACAAACTGACATACACCCTACTCTTTGTTGGGCAGTTTGCTGAATATTTTCATGCAAAATTTTATTTAATCCTGCCTACATTCCCTGTGAAGATAGACTGTATTTTAATCCCTCTTTTCTGGATGAACAAACAGGCTTCCAGAATCCAAAGTCTCAATACTTTTGTGGAGAGGAGCATTCCTGTTTTGTTTTGATTAAAAATCCTTAGGAGAAAAAAAGAAAAGAAAAAAAAAACAACCCTTAGGAGGTATCCTAATTCTCTTAAAGACCAAGATAGCTTCACTATGGCCTTCAGCTACCTGTCTTACTCCTTGTCATCTTGCCTCTGCTTACTTCTAGTACTACCACTCTTAGCCTTATGAGCTCCTGTCATGTTTTTTCTGTTACCAAGACAACTTTCTCCTACCTTTCCTAGAGCCTTTTGTTTTACTTGTTTCTTTCACCAAGATTGTGTTTTGAATCCCTTGTAATTGGCTCCTGTTGATCCTTCATTTGAAAAGAACTTTCTCAGGGAAGCACATCCATCTCAACTTTCTCAACCTCCTCCCCTCACTGAAATTTTTTCATAGTACTAATGATCTGGTGGCCTAGTGGTAAGAAGCTGCTGCAGTCCTGAAGGCATGTGGTTTGAATTCACCAGCTGCTCCATGAGGGAAGGATAGGTCATCTCCTTACATGTGATTGATTGCCTCTGAAAACCCACTGAAGAGTCAGGTATGGGTCAGTTCCAACTCAACAGTATACAACAACAACAATGATCAGAGTAACATAAAATCAGGATCATTTTCACCTCTGCTCAGCCGTCCTACTGTAGTTTTGGAATCTACTTTTGTTTCCTCTCTGATGTGTTTCTCAAATATTCTTTACCTTGAGACTTCAACTCTTCCTTCACAAAACAAATAGAAATCTTAAGAACAGAAAACCTCTTGGTTTGAAAACTGAATTTCTTTCTCCTTGCTAGAGGTGAAGAGAAGCCCTTTTTCTTCCCTCAGGCCAATCTCTCCCCCTGTTCTCTAGGTTCCATTTTCTGCCATTTGATCTAAACCAAACAGAATTACCCTTTCTTTCCTGGCATGCTTTTAATTACTTTCCTCACTTGGATGTACTGTAATGACTTTTATACATACTAATATCTCTACTGTCTTCAAAAACTATTCCTTGACCCCATGTTTTCTTGCTGCTGCTCTAAGCCAGCACCTAAGTCACCTTCTCTCTACTTCACTACTAAACTCTGAAAACAGTTGTCTTCACTTTCTCAGCCACGTGTGTTCTTTAGCCCATGCATCTATCAGATTCCACAGATGGTTTTTTGGTATTCTTGAAGTGGTTGACAACTCCTTCTTAAAAAATACTTTTCTCCTTACTATCTGTGGAACCATGCTCTGCTGCTTTTCCTTTTAGTTGTCTGTCCCATTCTTTCTCTTTGCGATTTCCTTCAGCCTTTATAACCAAATTTGGTATGTCTACTTGTTCATTTCCTAGAGATGCTTCAAACTCACCTTAAGATGGAATTCATTACCTCCTCCACTGTGTTCCTGAATGTACCCTCACTGCTCTACCCACCTCTGGCCCATTTTCTTTCTATACATCCTCAGATTCTCCCTGACCCACAACCTGGGTCAAAGGCCCAAGTCTA